AAACCAATCCCTAAACAATAAACCCTAAACCTAAACCAATCCCAAGCCAAACCCTAAACCGTGCACCTCTAAACCTAAACTTACCCTTCAATCAACATAAACCAACCCTAAACTAACCCTAAATACACCCTAAATATACCCTAAACCAATTCTAAACCAACCCTAAACCCCACAACCACAGGGGGGGGGGGGTACTTGTCTGACCCATGACCATTGGGGGGGGGGGGGGCTGGCAACGCTGTACCATATATTACCCATATGGGGTATGTGGGATGATTTGCAGGATTCCAAGCGGCGTCAAAGATGGAAACCTTTATGCTCGCATTGCCCACACTGCTCTGACCTGACACATCCCTATGGCTTTAAACTGAAACAATGCCGCCATCAAATGACAATGCTTGTCTTTTCTTAGCAGGTGGGCAATCAATGATATCACCAATCATTTTGTTTGGAGCGGGTCAGTAACTTGTTGCGGGTGGATTTTCTAATTAGCTTTGTGAATACACATTAACCAGCCAATAGTAATAACACGATCCATAGAGTGAGTACATCATCACACAGCATTGTCAGTTATTTTTTGTGATCAATGAGCCTACGGTACCCGGCCCCCTTCCTTCGGCCACCCCGGCCTGACTGCTGTCTTGAAGTCATAGCCCGGTTGAACGGCTTCGTTCGTCCAGCATCTCACCATCACGGGGGGGCTCGGACAGGTGCACGGGTTCCTTAACGGCGCACGGCAGGGTCCACAACTGGGGGATGATAAAAGGAACCCCAAACGTTGGCAATCTCCAGAGCAACTTCCCCAAACGCTCACAGAACAGGATCATCTGAATCAGCGGATCAGCCAAGACAAACGCAGAGTAGCCATCAATACTAGTTTTACATCAACATCAACCCATGTCGACATGAATTTCCTGTGATCTTCAAACATCTTGCGGGCCTCTCATTCAGTTGCCGCAGCTCTTAGTTGCAAAAAGAACCTGGAAATCGCGGTTCAAGCGGACCAAGGTCGGAAGACTAAATTGTCAAACTCGGTCGATTCGATTTAAATGGGCAAGCGAGAACTTCATGAGTTTCCCAGATGCAGTTTGCTTCCCTTTTAAGCTCACAACGCCACCCTCAACAAACCACACACTTGAGTGTTCAACCAACATCAGCTAAGCAGGTTATATCCCTGACTACAAGGAGACTAACCGACTAACCCCAGGTATCTCACCATGGTTCCCAGGTATGGGTTGCAGCCTGCTTCCCTGACGTTGGTTACCCCAAGCCGCCAAGTTACCCCATGCCAGGTATCTCACCATGGTTGCAACCTGCTTACCTGATGACCTGATGTTGGTAACACTCAAGTCAAGTTACCCCACATATCGGCTGCAACCTACTTACCTGACGTTGGATACCGCCAAGCAGCCCAGTTGGCCAAGTCGCCAGTAGAGGTTCTGCCCGTGGGGCCCCGAAGGACCGTGGCAGTTTCCTCGCAGCATCTTGCCGGCGGCTTGACAAACCCGGGCCTGCTGCTTCGCCAGGCGGAAGCACTCATCGCCTGAAAGGGATTCCAGGTGTGCCCACATGGAATTCCGGGTTTGCTTCTGCTTTTCACTGGGATCCTTTTTGTTTCACCTTGACCCGTTTGTTGATTCCATGTCAACCTGGTTTTGTGACCCAGACTCGAAGCGTCCACCACAAAACGCTGAATCCAATGAGAAACAAACACCGCACGTCATCAAGGATCACTGGATTCCCTCTAAAGGTTGCAATTTCAAAATTCCAAAAAAGGATATGGAGGAAACCCTGAGGAGGCAACCAAGGGGAACTGCAGGTAGCCAAGCCCAGAGATTAACTCAGGGAACCGCCCACTATGGCGGTAACTGGGATCCACTTCCCAGAAAAACTTCCATATTTACACCAAGAGGATCCTGGTGAAGGCTTGCAAATACCAGTACCCTCCAACTGCTTCTTGGTTTCCGTACTCGGGATCTTGGTTGCATGGTTAAAATCGCAGGCAAGTTGGGGGGGGGGGGCGCTGGCACCTACCTTTTGTGGCGAAGCGGATCCATAGGATCCACCGGGGTTTCTGCCCAGTTGCTCCAGGCCAAAGGAAGCACCCCATGCTGGCGCCGCGCGAAGTTGTGCTCTTCCAGCGTCTTCGCTTTCCATTCTTCCCAAGTACCTCGACGGTCCCTGGTTTCAGGGTTTCGTAGGTAACCAAGAGAACCACCCTTTAAACAACTTACAAAGAACAATTGTCGGTTGAGTACCTACTATAGGTGTAACATGCTGAGATACAAGGAAAGGTTGCGGGGTCAAAGGCGGCTACAGTATGGTACAGATCTGGAGAGAAAGTGATGCAAGAAGCGACGGCCCAAATGTGGCTCAGTTCATAGCGCTGCAATGACAACAGCATGAGACGCATGGAAAACTCTCTCTCGGGTAGACACAGAGCAACACGAACATCCCGACTATGGGTTTCAGACATCAGAGAGATGTCTCAGAGATATTCAGAACACACAAAAGGACTGCTCGAAAACATCCGAAGTTATTCAAAGTTCGAAGTGAGCTTCTTTCATTTTGAATAGTTGTGTTGTGACACGAATGGCCGAGTCCTCTGAGATCCTCAACCAAGATCCGCCTTCCGGACATCCAAAGTGGCCCGCAACCCGAAAAAACAAAACGACGCCCAGGCGCCATACCTCGTCTCCGCTTCGACCCCTGCGTCCGCTTCGGCCGCTTCAGCCACGTCGACGGCTTCGACGGTTTCGACGGCTTCGGCGGCTTCGGCGGCTTCGGCGGAAATCTTTGCCGCCGCCACCTGTGGCGAGATCCGTGCGACAGAGCATGCGTCCCCTGAAAAGGACCCCCAAAAGTGGGTGGGTCTTCCGGTTGGTTCCCTTTAAGACCAGGCAAAAGGGGGGTCCCTGACAAAGAAAGAACTTTCCAATTTGGGGACCCGGGGCGTCATTTAGATGGAGGAGGAGTGGGGGTTCAAGGTTTATTTTCATTCTTCTGACCGCGTCCGGGGGAATCAGCCAGAAGGAAGTTCCCTTAAAGGACGCCATGGATAGTTATAGGGGTCAGAACAAAAAATTCAACCGTCCGACCCCCCTCATGTCGCGCGGCCAAAATCTCTGCTCCAGCTGCCTCCGTGTGCCTGAAGTGATCCTGGAAGCAGCCGGCCTCCAGGGCCGGGAGGTCAGATCCCTTCAACTTCAGGCAGATCCAACCCCACAACTGCCTTCCCAACTTCCCATCTAGCTCCGGTCAAATCTTGCTGGAAGCCGGTCAACTTCCTCCCCTCCAACACTCCGGTCAAATCCCCCCAGATCAAATGCCAAGAACCCCCCCCCAAAAAAAAAAACAGCCTCTGAAAACATGTCCAACTCCCGTCAACTTCTTCTAGAAACCGCCAAAATCCCCCCAAAAAGCCGTCCAATACCCTAGAAATTTGGACCTGCGCTTGGCCCACCATTCTGTACCTCTCTGCGGCTCTCGGTCTGGCCCTTGAAGCCAGGTGGAATCGTACGGACATGCGCCCACCCGCTAGCTTGGAAACCAGCTCACGCATTTCGGCGCCGACTCACTCACTTTAAACAAATCACTTCAAGGCAAACTGAAGCGCAGTATATACCTCAAAGCCAGCCAAAAGCGGACTGGCCGAGGCGGGCAACGCGAAGCGTTTATATTTGGCACACTCCACAAGGTTTGGATGGAGTAGAGCTCTACCTGCAAGGCAATTTACCTCAGCTTTGAAATGCTAGGAATCCATTTTCCAGCCAAAGCTGCCAAAAGGGGAAAACCTGCACTCAGCTGCCTGGTGACTTCGATTTTTCGGCGCCTTGCCGTACATCACGAAATCGATAAACTCCTCCAACTCCAGCACCCCGTTTTGATTCCTCGACGGCTCAGATAAAACTATGGGGATGCAAATTGCATACCATCTTTGTCATTGGTGATGCTTTTGGTCAGGAAGCCGAAACTTTGGGCAGTTGTCATCTTCGTCCTGCTCTAACATCCGAGCAGGGTTGTTGTTCTGAACACCTACGTAGGGGCTCACGTGAGAAGCCCAACGGTCGACTCCAACTGGTCGTTTGCAGTTGCAACCAAGAATGGGGGGAAACGCATTTCCAATACAACTCGCCCAACATTGTCAAAGCTACGCTTCGCCAAACCCAACTTTCTGCCACCTCGGTGACCTGATGAAATTCCACCGGAAGCTCACTAGGCTTACGGGGTCTTGCCGGGCCCCGAAAACCCAAAACCCTCGCTGAGGCTCACATCCGCCGCGCAGAAAAGCCGCTGCAGCTGCACTTCGGAGAGGGAGGGCGCCAACGCCGTCATCAGCTGACGCATCTCATCGAAGCTCAGAGTGCCATCCTGGTTCAGGTCCAAGTCCTGGGGATCGGAGCCCTCAGGGGGTCGGGGAGAGGGATTGGAGAACCCCGAAAACTGCGAAGGACCAATGGCAAACCAAGGATTTCAGGGTGAAAGTCTCTGTTAAAACTGGGATACTCATCCAAAGCCTGTACATCATAATCCTTACTGATCAGACTCTTTTGCTTACTCTGATGCTACGTCCTTGAACTTTTGCTTCATGCTGTCCACCTTCTCCTCCCTAGGCAGCCGGTCTCTGGCTGCTTTCACCACCCCAAAGCTGGGACGTTCCAAGAGCTGGCCGTAGACGTCCACCAGCGGCAAGCGGAACTTGCTGCCCGAAGTCCACCACTCGGCGCCCCGCAGCTTCCGCAGCATCTCGGATTTGTGGCCAGCCACGTCGACGTCCGCAAACCTGTCCCGTCACATCCCAGTGAGTACCAGGGGTGGCCAGGGTTGGGTTTTTCACCCCTTGCCAGGATTAAAAGTGCCCAAACCATGGTTGAAGCTGATGGTCAAGAACAACTGTTCCTACGCTTCGAAACTCACATACATATTGACATGTGTCTCTTCACTCGAGACACATATCTGTGCAATGGCTGGATCCCAATTATTCGTAACCACACATTTGATGCCCGACCTGTATTTCAGGCCTCCGTGGTCGCAGCTTCCTTTGAATCGGTTGCACACGCTGCAGCTATCTCGGCCGTATACGACCAACTCTGCCATCCCTGCGCATCAACCATCCCAGTGGATCCCAGTTTCCGCTGTAATAGGCAACCCGCACTTTCCTTCTTCCTTTTTAAACGGTGGTGGTTCAAATAGTTCCCTAGGTTACCTGCTGTACAGCCAAATGGATCCACTGGGAATGTTGAAAGTCAGCTTGTGTTTCCAAGTGTTCTTATTCTTCAAGGACTATGTTGCTTTTCAGACCAGGCCGACTAAGTTCATGTTATGGTGACTTCGTCGTGCCACGCATCAAGGAAACCCCACAATGAAGTGTATTCCGCTGGTTTTCTTGTGTTGCAGTTGTCTCTGTGTGAGATGCTTTTAGATAAATTTGCTCCAAAAAGCTTGGAGCAAAACTGCATCTGGTGGGGCGCGCGTTTACAAAATCCTGCAATCCTGGAGCCGGACTGCAAGAACATGTCAGCTGGAATGGGTGACCCATAATTTGAGTTGGGGGTTGATCCATATTCCATTTAGCCCCCTCCCAGTTTTGACCATAGGTAACATGTTGCCCAGTTGGTTGAAATATATCATCTTTTTGCTGGTTTCCAACCAACGGTCATCCCATGCTCATCACACCTTCTGATCAACCCCCATGGGTACTTCGGGGGTTGCAAAAACCCCTCGATGGACCCCAGGAAGGTACCCCAAACCTTTAAACCACCAGCGCTTAATGGGGAAATCCAGGTGCCCTTTTTCTCGTCCTTGGAGCTTGGCTCGTGCTCGCGAAGCCTCCCTTCGATCGAGTCGCAATCAAAACCGTCTACCCCAAACCTTTAAATGCACCCAGTGGATCCCCATGGATCCGCTCTAGTAGGCAACCAACAAAAATATTCCTCTTGGCTTCTCTACTGGGTGATTCCCTTGGTGAATGGATCCACTGGGGTAAAGGACTAAAAGAGTGCACACCAAAAACAAATTTGGCAAAGGGACGTTCCCTCAACCGTTCAAACCCGAATCGGGTTCGAGCCGCATATCCGAGCACCAAGCTCTTCCCAGTTGCTACGAGCCACTGCAGCTCCTGCACGGCACGTATATATTGTGGGTTTGTTCTAGGGGTTGATTCCTCATTCTTTTCAACCATCGTTCTTTTCAAAAACCGGCTGTTTCCCCTGGGTGTTTGATGGTTTCTTGAAAAAAAGGATCCCTGGCAAGAATGGAGAAGGTACCCCTAGATTTGTCTTAACATTAGGGGGACACCCAAAATGGTTCTCGGGTTTCGCGTTGGTTTCCCTTTCAATGCCGCCCGAAGAAAAGTACCCTCAAAGAAAACACACACACACACACACGTGGAATGTGCGAAATCTGAGCGGCCAAGACATCTGGGGAACTGAAGGGCCTCGGTCGTAGTGCTTAAACAAGTTGGTCTGAACCATGGTAAGCCACAGTCAATAGTCATTCCCCGACTTACATGAGGAATATGTGGTGAGCTTAACATGGAAAAAGCCCTCCATTCTTAGAGGAATCTCCTTTTTAGGGATCGCTTTTTTGGGCGCCATGTCAATTTGAAGGGGGAGTGATTCTCATTTCCGGATGGTAAATTATTGAGCGTGACGTGGACGTCATCCACAGTAGCGACTGCAAATATTGACTGTTGACCATATGTAAAGCAACATTGGGCGCAAAGCAACACCCATATGAGCCAGTCAACACTACTTGTTTCTCCAAGAGGACATGGGAAAATGAATGAGTGCCTTGCTTCCGCGACACATTCCTGAGTTTCCCCATGTTCCGCCCAAATACACCATAGCCTAGATATGGATATACCTCCTTTGAAGGTACCCTTTCCCCCCTTTGGTGGTTTTAAATGGACATGAACAGGAAAAAACCACCATTTGGGGTGTCCCCCGTCCCCCAAAAAGACCGCCCCATCTTTTACCCGAACCTTTCTGGCGTCCCCGCCTTTCTCAGGAAGGCGGGGCATTGGTGTGAATGCCTGGCTCCAGTCAATCTCCCAGCCTCCCACGGGCCTGGGCCTAACGCCGACTCCGCTCGAGTATTCTCCAACTCACTTGCCCAGATTGGAAAGAAATCGCAGGTGAATTCACCTCTTGGGACTTTTAAAGCTGGGCCAAGGGAACACCAAAAGGCTAAAAGCTTCGGTTTGAGCAACTGAGCCAAAGGGCGAAACCGGATTTTCGTTTTGTACCCACACAAAAAAGCGAGCACCACAGCACCAGGTAGAATTTTGCATCGTAGCTGGTGCCCACAGTCTCAAACGCTCGCCTGCTGGCTGGTCTCTGCCTTGGTGCGAAGAAAGACGAAACACATATTCTTCTAGGTCCTCCAGTAGAGAGGTTAGAATAAGGGTGCCCGTGTTTTGTTTCTTCTTTTTTTCCTGTAATCTATTTTAGTAGGGGAACCCTCCCCCCAAAAAAAGTAAAAGGGCACTGGGATACCTAGTCTTGGTGCCTGATAGAAACATGGCAACCCGCCCATGTCCCCTTGCTGAAATGCGGGACCCGAGATACGTCCAAAGACCGTATTGTTGACTGCGGAGGCATGCGTCAAACTGGGCGCGGCCAGGAAACCACCTGGAGGAGTCCGCATTTGTTTTGAGAAAACATCGGCACCGCTTGGGATTTGTGAAACCCTATTACACTGGGACACCTAAAGCACCAATCCCAACTGGTGCTTTCTCCGAGGCCGGAGGCCAATCTGTGGGCTCGGCCAAGGTTGCCCTTGTCCTGTGCGCCTCAGACTCGAGCACAGTCATCCCGAGGACAAACTATCGCAGATCTTCATTCCAAACACAAAAGTAATGATTGTGAGGGTACCCAGTATTGACACATGAGCTGCAAACAAACGTGAAACTTGAAAAAACATCATTATTACTTGCAAAGTTGCCTCTCAAAGGAGCTTTTCTTCAGATTTCTCACACACAGCGACAGGACGGACCCTCGCCACCGAAAAGCTCCATCTGCCAAGCGGCCAAGCTCGGCTTCTTCACGAGACGCGAGAGCGCATAGCGTCGGCCTGCCCACCTGGCATAAAGAGGCCAAATGAGAGGTCCGTTTGCTGATCCCCGTCTCAAAGTGAATAACTTTTAGTGGGTGAAATGGACAACACCCCCCCCAAGAAAAAACAAGGAAGCCGAAGGAACCAGACGACTCGCTGGGAACCGCCAAGGAAGCATATTGCTGTTGGCTTGCGTCCCTGGACTGTGCAAGCTTCCAAGTCGGGCAGCAACCCTTCAGCAACCTTTTGCACCATGGGAGAACTCATGTGAGGTTGACCCATATTCCATTTAGAGGCCCCAGTTTTGACCATGGTCATCATGTTCCATGTGAATTAAAATTTATCATATTTTTGGTGGCTTCCCTGATGGTCATCCTGTTTAAAGGACCTTTTGATCAACCCCTATGTGTATTTTCGTAAGGTATCCCATGTCTAATTTCTAGTGATTGACACAAACTTTGTAGGTGTTTTATAAACATATATACCTATATGTATATATGGTGTGCTGTATTGTGTCTATTGTACCCTCCCATCCACAAACACGGAACCTCACGGGGGTCCTGGAAGACCGCTTTCCTTTACAAGTGACCCCTTGTGGGTTCCACGGTGGGTTCCATGTTAATGAGTAGACTCGGTTGCTTTCTGCTCCCCTGCCAAAAATTTAACTTTTAGTGGTTTAATGGACAACCCATTGGCTGGCAAAAAGTTAAAGTCCTAACATATAAGCAAAATGCACCAAAGTAGACCAAAGGGTATGTTTTTTTTGCAATTTCGAACGTTTCTTTTCACCCGAGTGACAAACGTTCGAAGCGGCCTCCGCCAAGTGGGCGCAAGGCGCAGCATCTCAACACCTCCAGTCAGCACCGAGCAAACCCCAAGGTGGGCGGGTCGTTCTCTTGGGAACCCCTAAAATGGAGGTTGTGCTGTTGGTCTCTCTTCAAAAACCCACCCAGAAGAAGGGTCCCCCCCTAAAAGAAAGAGTCTACCTTGGGGTAGTAACATGTCCTTCGGCTTCAATTTGTTGCAAACAAAGGCCCGTGTGAGCAACCCAAAGGACAAGCAACTGCATCGAGCCGCCGTTTCGAGCAAACCAAGGTAGAGACACGTTCCAATTTCTGGGCAAGCCAGAAGATGGTTGATTTCGCCACAAGGAAACCTACCTTGGGTCAATCCATGGACTACCCCAAGGCAGATGCAGGCACCCCGTGGCTGATTCCTCCAAGCAGAATTAGGTTTAAGTCTACTGTGGGGTAATTCAAAAATGGAAGCCTGGGAACAACCCACAAGTGGTCCTTCAAACGTGAGTTGAAAGCCATCAGAGTTGCAACATCGAAAGCACAGCTCTCCATTTTAATTGCAACATCACCCCACCAACTGCAAAATAGCAGGTTCAAAGCTCGGCGAAGGCACGCTTGGCTTCTGGCGCTGTCTGAATGTACCCTTGAACCGAAGGTGTCTCTCCCCTATCGAGCCCTTTTGGCTGCGGAAAAGGTTGCTGCCTGGGCAAGAGGGAGACCACAAATTTACGCAACACATCACACGCCAAAAAGGAGACTCATTTGGAGTTCTGATGCTGGTTCATGCCATTGGCAGGTCCAACTCTTTTGCCCCAGACGCATTTGTTCGGTGCGCGATCATCGCGCTGGCGCAGCGGTTTCAAGCCGCTTGAGACGGCAACGGAAGCAGCAGTCTCTGCAGCTTCGGGGCTGAAGGGTCGGATCTGAGAGTTTGCCTCAAATTCGCGAAATGCGTTCGTCTCGAACTGCACCCTCATCCCTCCCTCAAATGCTTGGCTCCTGGTATTCTCCAACACATGCCCCAAACTACAGGCAAAAAACGACACAGCCAGGCGCAGCGCCGGTCATTAACGAAGAAAGCAGCTTCCGTCCAGCTAGAGGCTAGGCGTCATCTACTGCCAGAGAGTCCTCACAATGGCTCAGAGATCGGGCTGCATTGTGCCACTTGGGCATGAACAAGAAAACAAGCAGGCAAGCAAGCAAAGAAACAACCAACAAAGAGACAAACACACGGACCTCAAAAGGAAAAAACAAAAAACAAAAAACAAAAACAATCAAACAATCAAGCAATCAAACAAGCAAGCAAACAAACAAACAAACAAACAAACAAAAACAGTCATGCACGAGAGCGAATCGCCACAGACATGCAAACACACACACACACATTGCTCTGCTTCTGTCCTGTGAGATGGAGGGACCACCTTGGAAAGCAGCGGGTGCGAGCAGCTAAGGAGCTTCTTGTGAGAGCTCGTTTTGAAGATGGGCCACTTTGCCCTGTAGTGACCTGACCTGACCTGACTGACCTATCAACCTTCCTCCACAGATCGAGATGCCGCTTTTCGGCTCGCTTCGCGCAGCCAATGCTCAGCTGAAGCAAGGGACGCTTTGGATCCTTGGGTATCTCTGAGAACTGTTTGTTCGCTTCCCAAGTGCAAAAGTGTCCAACCTGTCTCTGTGTATGTCTTTGTGTGATTGTTTGTGCGGGAGGGACACCAAAGGGAAAACCACATTTTGGGGTCCCCCCTATGTCTCACTTCCTAAGTGGATTGGCAAAAAAAAAAACGAGCTTGTTTTTTACCACTAAAATGTTCTTCATGTTCTTCCCAAGAAGTATAAAGTCTATGATCCCAGGAGGTGAGATGTTGACACATGCCATGCTGAAGGAAGACTGGGCCTGCCACGCAAGCGAACACCGTTGGAGTAGCGCATGGCTTGCCGCCGGATGCTGTCCACTTCCTCCTGGTTTCCCATGAGGTGCTCCGGTGGCAAAACCCCCAGACTTCCTGAAAAACAGCGCCCAACTCGAAGGAAACTGACTTTAACAGGTGATGCTTAAACACACTCAAAAATGAGGGAAATACGGAGAGACCTGCAACATGTCACAAAGACGTCTATGATTGAGGCCCAGTCAGGGGCCTCTTGACCTCGGCATGCGACATCAAAAGATGTAAGCCACAAGTATAGAAATTTAGCTCCTAAAAAAGGAAATCAAAAGGAGCCAGTACCCTCCCTCCCACATTGCCATGGCACCTGACAAAGGGTCCCTGGAGGAGGAAATTGATCTTGCAGGCACCCTACCACAGGTGCCTTCCGTTTGTGGGAGGAAGGGTGCCAACTTTCTTCCCTTCGTATCTTTTCGAGGCTTGCTGCAAGCAACCCCCGAGCTAGAGACAACCCGCCTGCCATCGCCTCTCCGCTGCCGAAAGCACCTCCTCCTCTGGCCTCGCCTCAAGCGAAGCAGTTCACCAGCGACTGCCAAGGAGAAAACGGCAATGCCAATGCCCTTGAAAAACCGGCAGCCTTGGACTCACTATGTTTCCCAGCCATGTGCCAATTTTCCACTCAACCTAGCGGATGTGCGTCAACTTGGGGTGCTTCATGGCTCAGACCGCAGCTTTTCCGCCAACTGGATCATCGGACTTCGAGCTCAGATTCACTTGCTTGGCAAGCAGCCCTCCTACAGCGGAGCCAACAACAACTAATCCTTGCCCCCAAAAATCGGAAGGTACAAGTAACCCAAGAAGAAGCATTATAGAAGAGCATCCTGCTTCCTACCGGCTCATGGGCGCAATGCAAGCTTTCTCAGCATCCTGCACGTAGCCGAGGCTTCATGCCATCAAGGCAGCCTCATTGGCTGCCGCCTCGGACAATAAAACAGTAGACGCCCTCAAGGCGACGTGAAGCCTCCAGTCACCAGCAGGAATCCTGGGAAACTCAAAGCATCTCATCAATCTTGCATGGTGCATGTGCAACGAACCTCCTGCAGCGTTGAACTTGAAAAGAGCCACATCTCCTTGCGCCCATCCACTCCAGCTGCTAATCGTCTCTTGACCTGCAGCCATCACCCTTCCCCCCCCTTGCGTCTGCCCAGTCCACGTGTAGCTGCTTGGATCTCTATAGCTGTCGAGCTGTGGCTTCTCCGTTGAGATTACACCGATACCAAGCCAGCCGGAAACGGGCAACGCTTCGACGGTCACCTTCCACACTAGTGACTCGAAACAGCCGATAGCGGCGCATCCCACGGCAACTGCGATGCACTGGTTAGCTGTGTTAGCCGAAGCCTGCAGTCGCCTGCCATTATCTGAGACAATAATATTGCCATGGAAAGCCTTCATTGCCAATGGCAGCTCTGCAACTGACAGCCCGAGAAACCGCATCATCATATAAAACTCTTGCCGATGCTCTGCTTCAACAGATGGCAAACCAACGGACACCCCTGGCGGAGCCAGCGCCGTGTCCGCAGGTATGAGAGCACGGTCTCGAAAAGCATCGGGGTGAAGTCCAAGAAAATCCGTGTCTGTTCATCGCGCGGCAGGGAGTCCTCCCAGCGGCCGCAAAACATGGAGTGCAAGAGGCTGCCTTCCGGTGCCATGAGCAGAGTGCGGCGCTTCGTGGTGAAGAGGTGGCCGCCCACATTGAGCTGCACAATGTCAGCGTTCGAGCAGTGGCCTGAAGGATTGTGGAAAACTGACAACTTGGAGTGATATCGCAATGGAAGGCCTTCCGAGTGGACTATTATCCAGTTCAATTCAAGGGGAGGTGCATTCAAGGGGTAGTTCCCTCGCATCACAGTGGGAACCAACCAACAACCTCCGCCTGAAGTCATCTGCTGCTTCTCCTTCTCCAAGCGCTCGCGGTCCTGCTGCACGGCATCCTGCTGCTTCTCCAGATCCTCAAGGTCCGTGATGAGCTCCTCAAACTTCCGCTTGAGCTGCGACATCTAAGCCAGGAGCTTGAGCCCGCGGCTCTCACTTCAGGGCGACTGCCAATGACTGGAAGAAAACGGAAGCAGGGCAAACGGATTCGATCTGCACATGGGAATGCTCGATCTTCCTTCTGCTCGCGTGCGAAGCGAGCAAACGCAATACTCTTCAAACATAATATAATAATATGTATAGACAGCTTTATATGAGCTTGTTCCCAATTGGGGAACAAAAGGGGGCAGGTTCCTTTTGGCTTCCCACTCGACCAACAACAAGAACCTAACACCTAAAACCGGGACACACACACACACACATGCACACGCGGACACACGCACACATGTCCTTCTGGACATCTAACAACAGTTCCAAAAACCCTACACAAGAGATACCCAAGTACCTTCATGATAGGTGTCCTTCTTGGGAAAATAGCCAAAAAGGACACCAATATTCATGATGGTGAGCTCATGTTGCCTTCAGCTCGCAGGTGGTGCCCGTGCGTCCATAGACCCGCCTCCACCGGCTGCACGATGGTGAGCCTGGAAGCGGAGCCAACTGGCGGGACGAATGGTACCCGCCCATTTACATGGAGGTTTCGGGGTCCTGTAAAGGGACCGGGTTTCGTGTTGATTCGTGGGAGGGTTATTGGTGACTCGTGACTGACAAGTGCTTCACTTCCGGGCCCATTTTGCGCCCGTGTGACTAGTGGAATGACTGCTGGTGAGTATTGCATGGTGTCCGATACTGCCTCAGATGCCCAGTGGCCATGGGAAAAAAGGGCATCCTTGTTCTGTTGGTTGAGTTTAACAGGGAACCGTTACCCAAAAAAGGTCGAAAAAAGGAAGCAACCCACTGGGCAACAGAGCTGCCTAGTGACTAAGGATTCAAATCGGGGGGGGACCCTCCGGGGCCTATGGCCTTCCCTCCGAATCAATGAACACGCGAGCCTGGATGAGGTCGGCGAGCTGCTCTTGCCTGCAAGCTTGACTCAGGGCCTCATCGCCATGACCTGAAGTCTCCGTGACCCTCAAAAACCAACGATGGCGTTTGCCCAAAACTGGGCTGCCCGTTTTCAGATGCCCCGCTAAGCGTGGCTGACTTTTAGTGGGTTAAATGGAAACTACCACTAAACACTAAAAGGATAAAAAGCTGAGGGGATGGCTGGGAGCCGCCAAGAAAATAAGGAGTTTCCCGACCCCAGGATTTTTCAGGGTCATGGAGACTCCAGGTACCCCTCCAATGAATGACCCCCAAAGGATATATAGTAACCCTTCGAAAGTGGGGTGACAACAAGGAAGCCGACAAGTATGAACCAGGAGTATTTACCTGCACTCCTGAGACTCATGATTGGTTGGGTTGAAGCTCCCTATGGTTCCAGGGAAGGACGAACATCTGCAGCGTTGAGGTGCAGGGATGGTGGTTGGGGGATTGAACCCTTGATCAAACCAAAGGAGAAAGCACACCCCCAACCTCCAAACCACCAATCCAAGCCGCTTCTATATGATTGAAACACGTGCAAGGGACACCTTTGCTTTACCCACAGACCATGTCAACTTGTTGGGTCCCGATGCCCTCTGGCCATCCCCAAATGTATCATAGCAAGCATCAGTTGACGCTTTGACCTCATGTGGCCAACCTCTTCTTTTGCCGGGCCCACAAAGATCACTTCGTGACCCGAGGTCAAAACCAGGTGGGGCTTCAGCAACAGGGTCCCCGCTTGGTCATTGTTCAAGCCTTAACCTAGGATTCAAGTCTTTAAGATCCTCATCAAGTTTGTCAAGAGCAAAGATGTCTCAGATGGCAATTCTCTTTAAACTCAGATGCCCAGTGGCCATGAGCAAAAAAAAGATGGGCATCCCTTTTTTGTTGGTTGAGTTTCAAAGGAACCCCTACCCGAAAAAAGTCGCAAAAAAAGGAAGCAACCCACTGGGCAACAGAGTCTGAGTGTCCTTGGCACCAAACCTCGACCCAGTCCAAGTCCCCTACTTCCATTTGCTTAAGCTCCCAGGAAAAAAACAAATCAAACAGCAGTGATAGATTCCCTTTAAAACCAACAAGGAAAAACATATTCTTAAGCAAATGGACGTCTACTTCCCTCGACTCCAATCTCAAGGGGGGCCGGGCCGGTCGAAACGCGCCTGGGCTGCTCGGGCCCACGGTGCTGCAGCTTTTGGATCTGCCTCGGAGGAATTCGTTCCGGTGGATGTGGTGTGCCAGCTCGAGGAAAAAAATCGCCGGGGTTCCCTGATATGGGGTTGTTTGTGTGTATTTGTTTTTTGCCCCGGGGTACCCTTTGTGGGTGGTGTGGTTCCTTATCTGGATTGCGTTTTCCCCCCCCCCCCTTTTTTCTGGGTGCCAACTGTGTGTGTGTTAAAGGGGAAACAAAAGGAATACCACCATGTTGGGGGCCCAACAACTTTGACATGCCCAAACTGAGGGCCCTAGGAGATATGGACATTTCTGCCCACCAACCGGTTCGAAACCTGGCACTGAGAGGGCCACCCTCAAACCTTGGTGAATAATCAACAGGAAGGAACTGCTCCTATTTCTGGCAGGGAACTGTGACGTAAGCTTCCACTACCCGTGGAAACACCCAAATCTCAAAATTCGGCAACCCCGAAAAAGTATCATATCAGCTTCCTGGACAAGTATCATATCAGCTTCCAAGCAACAAACACATGTCTCCTTTCCGAATGAGAAGTGGCGCCAAAGTGAGCTTCGGTTCCCTTTGCTTTCCCTTCAAACCCCAACCCCAACAATATTTGTCCAACTTCAGAAAACCGCAAATCACACCGCTATTAGTTTGCCTGCACCCGCTCCAAACTAAATCCAAATGCTCCATCCAGACAGCTGAGCGGCTCATTGCCTCCGCGGCGGCTTTCACCTCGGGCCTGCGAATTCACCCTCGCTGACTTCCCCATCTTCTTAAGGGGGTCTCCTGAAAGAATATGGAATATGTCCAGTGACAGTGATAGATTCCCCGTAGAAAGAAAACATATAAAGCAAATGAAAGCCAATGTCCTCCCGGGAAACGTGGCCCCTTTTGACATCCGCCACTTAGCTTTGCTGTTTCTCGCAGCGGTACCAATTCTTGTGAGGACCTCTTAAACTTCTTGCTCTTGTGCCCATGGCACTGGTGTGGTCAAAACTCAATTGCTGGTCATGGACATGGTTCCAATAGGAACCTTTACCTTGATCGCCTAAAACAGTGGCGGACCGCAGGTGGGCACGTCATCCAACATTACAGTCTACAACCCTGTGACAAGGTTGATGACCTACGCATTGGTACTGCAAAACACAGAGACCCACCTCATTTACATGGGTCGGGCTGCTCAGAAGCAAGGTTAACCGTTTGGGGATGACTAAACATGGGCCAGTAGAAAAACCAAAACCTAGAGTCTCCACGACCCTTAAAACATGGGTAATGACCCCATCTTTTGCGGGTCATCGAGACTCCAGAAAGGTCAAATCTGGTCCATTCGCTGTGGGCTGAATCGCTGGCCACACCTGGAGAGGTAGTCCTTCAGCAGCTTCCGCGACTCCTCGCTCTCGCCTGTGTGTCAAAATGGTGGACCCCCTTTTGGGTGGACCCCAAAAGGTTGGTCCGTATCTAAGGGAAACCAAACAAAAGAGCATTGTAGAGAGCTTCTTATCTGAAGAAGCAAACACACACACACACACGTCTGTGTGTGTGTGTGTGTTCAAATAGGGATTTGGACCCCTCGGCTGCGGTTTTTCTCTTGGCTTCCCATTGATCCGCTTTGGTCTGCCAGTGGTGCCCAAGGGAAGTCAATGACACGTACGAGATGAAGCAGGCTGTTGAGCAAAGGCAGGTGACTTTTCAGAGGCGATCTAATTTGCTTTGGAAGCTCAAGCTTGAGCATGCTTGCGCAAACTTGCGCTTTGTGTGTGTGTGTGTGTGACTAGTGTGGTCTGCACTTCCGTATGACAGTACGGCGCCTGCCATTGTCTGTGCGCAGGTGGGGGCGGTGAAATTAAACTCTGATTGCAAACAAAATCATCACTTGAAGGTCCGGCCTCTCAGCCAGGGACAGGGACAACATGTGGGTGTTTTTTTGAGGGTACCCAGTTGTTGACGTTTTTTCTTTATGGGAAACAAACAAGGAAAAACCGCCAATTGGGGCGGGGTCTCCAACAAGAGCACACACCCATATATGTTTCAACTAGTAACTAATGGACATACAATCTTCAAGACCGGAAAGCCAGGAGTCCTCCATGTCCCGACCAAATTGACCATATGGATGTGTCTGAGTTTTTAGGGGGCCCTCCCCAAAATCGCTGGTTTCCTTCTTGGCTTCCCTCCAAAACCAAAACAAAAAGACGCGCGATGCTGCTGGACAGGTTGAGGTGTACCTCATGTCACTCCTTTTTCTGAGGCATTGACCGTCTCCGCTTTGCGCCTCTCGGCTTGAGCGCCGCAGCTCGTGAACTTTTCGGGTTTTCAAAGTAGACTCTGTTCCCGTGCTTCCTTGCTGGCATTTGCTTAAGCCCCATGGGAAAAAAAACAAAAAAAAAAAAACAAGATTTTCAGTAGTGATCGATTCGCTTGAAAAAACCAACAGGGGAAATAAAACATATTCTTAAGCAAATGGAAGCTTGGCCGGCCTTGCCCCACAAAATTGACTTGGTTTCCCTTGGCCATGCACTGCAAATGATTTGGTTTGATCCCGCAGGGCTGCCGTCTGTGCCCATCACGAACATGAAGTCCTGGAAAGAGGATTTGGTCAGTGAGGGACCCTGAAAGGCCCGGAGGACAAAAGAGGACGTCAGGGCTTCCCCTTCAGACCCTTTGGTTTCCCTTTGGTTTGCATCTTCCCAGAAGGATCTTCTTTTTGTTTCCTGGTCAGCGTCAAAATAGGAATCGGATTTCAACCATGGTTGGCGAATCTCTTTGTGGTTGCCCTTCAAAATTCCCCCCAAAAGGTGCCAACTCCAAACAAAAGGAATTACATATGGCCTGCCGCGCCGCCTCTGGCGGGCTAGCCGGCCTGGCGAGAAAAGGGGCCATGTTGAGACTGGCCTATCTCGGTGGCACATCCTCTTTTTTTTGAGGGGGATCCCGACGTTGGAGGAAGAGAAATAACCCTAGTTCGCTTCTTCGTGATTTTAATCATCACCTTTTCGGATGTCCAATTTGAAGTCTGAATAGGGAAACTCCTCAGAAGTAGTTGGTGGACATAAATCCATGCGCGAAAGAGCCAGCTTGGTGCTTCAAAGAATCCAGCCCCCCCTGGAAATTGGTGCTTTGCTGTTGGTGTCCCAAAGGGAACCCACTCCAAAAAAAAATCGCACCCGTACGCAGGGGTCCGACTCTACTGAGCCTTTTGGTGATTTCAAACATCACCTTTTGGACAGCCCAAGCGAAAGTGAGTCCGTTTGTTGGGTGATGTTGCAGGCTGAAGATATAGGGAACTCTGTGAGAACCCCGACAGCCGCACCATTGTTGCGACTGCAAGGGCCTAGCCCGCCCCGCCTTGCAGAGCGCGCCTCAGGGCAGGCCACTCTGATGGAAAAGTATGCCAATCATGTCGAAGGTGTCATCTCAAACCTCGAACAATCTATTTGCCTGGAGACTGGTAACCAGGGGCTTGCTACCAAACTCGAAAAACCAAGAGGAACATGGCTGGTTACCTGCTAGTGGCTTGCCTGGGATCCACTGGGATCCACTTTAGCAAAGGGGGCATCTCAAAAGAACAAATTGTCTGGTTAACCACCCGGGACTCGGGACCTCAACAATTTGATTGGCTTCCTCCAAATTCCCCCGAAAACATCTCCATGGGGTGTCCAATCCTAATCGGACGTTTAGCCTGCGGAAACTTGAGAAAAAAACAGTGGAACACTTTTTGTGTGCTTCTCAACATGCGGGCCCCTGTTTAGATGAAATTGAGGAAAACTAACAGGACACCAACTGCTTCGGCTGAAGGGTCTTTTAATTCTGTGGAAATCGAGGTTCTAACACCATCCCGAGGGGTCCAATTCCAATTTTAGGGGTTTACTTTTGTTTAGGCGGGGGGGGGGGGGGAGGGCAACCAAAAAAAAGGAAATGTTGTTTATGTTTACTCATAAAACCAAGGGACACCCCAAACAAAAACCAAGGGCAACCCCCACCCAAAAAAAAAACACAAAAACCACGGGAAACCCCAGGGACACTCCAACTGTTGGGGAGCCTCATGTTGGTTTATATTATTTGCCTGTTTATTTACTTATTTACCTATTTATTGATTCTACTTATCTTTGCATTTGTCTTAATTTATTTACATAACTTACTTGTTTATTGTGGGGAACCGGAACCAAGGGAAACCCAACAAAAACCGGGACCGGGACACCCACGCCGTTGGAGCCGCCCCCGTTGGAGCCGCAACCCACCGACGCTTCTGGTCGAGTTTCGGGCTTTGGAGTCGGGGCTTCCGCTCTCCTCCTGGATCCGGGAGAGCCTGGCGAGCGCCGTTGCGTCGTGTGCGGGGGGGGGGGGGGGGGATTGGGCGTCCGGTTGGCTTGTGTTGTGGTTCCGCTTAGTTTCCCCCAGATTTTGGTTGGTGTCCTTTTTTGTCATAGGAATCGTTGTGCACGCTTTTTGCGGAGTTGGTACGCCTTTTTGGTGGATGTCAATTGAAACCGAAAGGAAAACCACCTTCTTGTGGCTCAATTGGCAGGGGGTCCCCTGAAAAACCACACCCCCCATTTGGTTTGTTTTGGTTTGGTTGCTCAAATCCTTGCCATGGTTGGACAAAATTTATTGTTCACCATTGATGTGAACTTTGGATCCCAACTAAGGGACACACCTATCAGCGGTACCCCTGTAAGGGATAGGATCCAGAATTAGGAGGGGGTTCTGCAACTTATATAGGGTCCAATGAAGAAATCATGTCGGTGCCCCAGAATCTGAGCTCTCAAAATGTTGAGTTTCCTTTTGGCCCATCTTAGAATACATTCAGAGAGACACTATGACCATAGTTTAAGCCGGGAATTTGCAAGTGTTGGGAGAGTTGGTCCCCTCATAGGAATCCAGGGCGTGGACAATCCCTAGGACCCTCCACAGCAAAATACACCTGTAGGTTGCTTGAACAACTGATGTTCAATAGCTGTTCCCTTTGGTCCTGCCCCGGTGCTATCCCTAGGATTTGTTTCCCTTAGGATTGGGGAGGTAAGTCATTACGTCCCTTTCCCAGCAAAAAGAAGACAATCTTCCAAGGCTTCCAACCAATCCTGGCGCCCCCAATGCGTCGCGGTCGAGCGAGCCACGTCCAGCCTTTGGCTCTCGCCCTCGGCTTCCTCGCGAGTAGCGACAAACCACACAGGATTCCAAGCCCAACTCATTTTTCCCCCCAGGCCTTATGATTGACAAAGCCTGAGCCCTGAAGTCCTAGGATAAAAATGGGTGTGCATTTCAATTCGGGATTCTTTGGTGGGCTTCATTTAAATATAGCTTTGTGACTTTTGTGTCCACCAGCCATTTTCACGAGGTTGCCTATCGAAATTCATAGCCATATATACCAGCATGCGGCCGTCCATGAGAGCAGTTGTAGGTGCATATATGGGATGTCTGGACACCCATCAAAACCCACAAATCCTACCGTAGAGGGACCAAATCCTGCACCACCTAAGAAACACTGGAATGATGATTCTCCTGCACATACCACCAACCATGGTCTCAACCATGGTTTCAAAGTGGTTGCGAAATGGATTTCGCAACCAGCCGCAGTATGATCATTTGAACGGGTTGTTTCCTTTTCAGGGGTTCCCATCCCGTTTTCGCTTTCGGCCCCACACATCCGCTCCAACCGGCATGCGTCTTGCCTCCTCACGGCGCCGCCTTCGGCGGCTGCCTCGGCTCTCGCGGTCCTGCCGCCGGGGCCATGGCTTAGCTGTGGAACCCCCGTGGATTGGGCCGCCAGGATTGGCCTGACTTCCTTGGGCTCCCTTGGGGTTCCCTTGGGTTACAACCGAAATGGCTGGCTGTCTCTGACCTTGCCATGGACAATCTAGAGGTTGGTTTCAACATGTATGGCCCTTCAGGGTGACCCCCATTTTCTTGGCCCTCTAAGGAAAGGGGGAAAGCGGCAAGGCCGCTGTTGACAATAGTTCCATCATTCGAAGATGTCCACCGCTCCACACAACTACCCCCAAAAGCAACTGGGCTAGTATACAAGTCCACGATAAGACGTATGCACATGTTCTATACCCTACTTGCACCCGAGGGCAGTGTGTCTTGCACCGTGAAAATGGTTGGTTTACTTGCGGTGTATGTGTCAACAAAAGGAAACTCCCAAATTGTTGTTTTCCTCGTGGTTTTCCTTTAAAACAACCTGAAGAGAAAAATTCAGAGGCCAAATAATTACATACATTCCCAATGATCATGACTTAGTTGGGTTCTAGAGTACACCACAGCCCCATTCTCATTGTGTAGCCAACTCTAGCCTCTTATATTGCCCCGTGCTTCCGATTTGCCAATCCCACTACGTTGGGACCAGGGGAAACCTTGTACAACCTAAAGGTAAACATGCCTTCGGGCTACCTAGTGCAGCTCACTTCCTGAGTGGATTGGCCGGGAAAAGTCTGAACTGTTTGTTTGCCACTAACATGGTCGTACCAAAAAATCAAAGTCCAAGAACGCAGGAAGTTAGCTAGTGGTAGCTGGAAGCTCTGGGTTAACCCCAAAAAACATAAACCCAACCAAAGGTGGGGCCAATGTGGGCCACTCGACTCGCCATCCTCATCCCGCCGGGAGAGCTCTGAGGTCGCCTGACTGCTGGCATCCTCCTGAGAATCTCCGGCGAAGTGGAATGAAAACCCAAAGTCAACCAACAACCAAACCAAACCTTCCATTTGCTTAAGCCCCCTGGGACAAATGAAAATATGTCCAGTAGTGATAGATTCCCTCTAAAGCCAAGGGAAATATAAAATATTCTTAATCAAATGGAAGAAACCAAACCAAACCAAACCAAACCAAGCAAGCAAACGAGCAAGCAAGCAAATGTTGCTGGGCTTAAAAGCTGGCGCATGGGAATCCCAAAGCCTCACGCTGCCGGCTCCATGTAAAGGCCCCTCGTAATATGGGTGTCTCCCCCCAACAGCTTCTATGAATAACCTACAAAAGCAAGGGCTGCAGGTTCAACTAACCTAACGTTGGGGGTCCTCCACAAAAAAAAACAAAAAAAAGGTTGTCTCCAGCTCCGCAAACACAAACAACCCAGGATTGTCTCCAGCTCCACAAAAAAAAAAGTCTTGGGGGTGCCCATTCAAAGGGCAACTAACTTTGTTGGTCTCCGAGTTTCAGGGCACCTCCCATGATTTCAGGGTCTGCGAGCTCGAAGCAGCCTGCCTCGTCGCGTCTGCGACGCCGCCTGGCCAGTTCCCCTCAAGAATTGCCTCTACACACGCACAACGCAACGCGCGAATGGCAGCCTGGTACAAACATCTTACATGAGCGCATCGGCCAACTTTGGTGCAGCCTGTTGGGTAGACGGAAAGAGGTTTCCCGCACCTGCAACACAACCAAGCGAGCGGGACAATACTACTTACTCATCATTCCTTCGGGTAAGCCACTCACATTTTAGGGCGAAACAAAAATGGCAACCTAGGATGAATGAAGACCTGACTGATGAATTCAGTCGGGCGCCGCGTTTCAGGAAGGATCGCAGTTTTCCAGTCGATGCTGTCACCCAGCCCTGTGAGGCAGGACAACAAAGTGGAGGCTTTGGGTCCGGCGGACTTTCTGCGGATCGACATGGCCAAAGTCTAAATCCTGTCATACTATGTTCACATTTATGTTGCTCACGATTCGTCCGAACACCCCATTCATCCTCGGTTGCTTTGTGCTCCCCTGCTAAAAGTGTTCAACTTTTGGTGGTTTAATACGGAAAACCCATTCGTTGGCAAAAGTGAAAGTGCTAACATCCCTGGGCAAAATGCACCAAAGCATCCACCACCCCCACTTCAGAAGTTGCAACCCCCACCTGCGGCTCCGCTCGGACCGCTCGGACCGCGAGGTATCGTCCTCCTCCCGGTCCCTACGGCGGCGGCGCTCCGAGACTGAGACGCCGCTGCCCGGCTCCGAGTCCTGCCGCATCAGCCGGAGGGTTGGGTCAACCAAGGTGGGGGTTTTCAGGGTGATCCCCAAACTCCCTTCCCGGCGATTCTACTCCCCTGGTTTTGTAGGTAACCAAGGGGTTCCCACCCAAATGGAAAAACACAGGGACTGTTGTTGGTTACCTACTCTCAGATGACCAGTGGATTTCCATGGGGAAAAAAAGGGCATCCTTCGTTTGGTTGAGTTTAAAAGGGAACCCATGCCCCAAAAAAGGAAGAAAAAAGAGCACCACTGGGCAACAGAGTTACAGAGTGATCGACTGGTGGGATCACGGGACTCAACAAGGACCAGCGGTTCAAATCCAAATGCAAGCCAATCCAAACCCACTTGGGGTAACCTGACTCAAAGAGGGTACCCTTAAGAAAACTTCTTGGGGTTCCCTTTCAAGCCACAAGGGATCAACACTGGGCACTGGGACCACCAGAAAAATCACCCTGGGGAAGTCGGTTGCAACAAACGGTGAGATAACTGCAGGGCTTGCCTGGGGTGATCGTCCCCTTACCTGGGTTACAACCTGCGTACCTGGCAGCGGTTGAACACCTAAGTTCAAGTGAGAGTTCAATATATCCACTAGGAAGCCGTAAGGGATAGTTCAGTCGGGGTCGGGGTCATTCCTGTCCCGCAGAGCTTGCAAGGCCAAGGCACGAAAACTAGTCGCATTGAATGACATTTATCTGGCTTTTCACTTGAGAAACCTCCGGGGGACATCATTTAAATGGCGATTCAAACTTCACAGCCAATCATGGTGACATTCCGGGACAACACCCCAACAAGGTGTGTCTTGTATGGTGGAACCAACTTGATGTTGCTTCTGGCAGGGAACCAAAGAAAGCCAATCATCGGTGTATGTATCAAAAACAGGGGGAACCCCCCCCCCAAAAAAAAAAAAATGAAAAAATAAAGGAGTGTTCCTCTTCTCCTGGGCTTCCTTTTTGCCAATGGGTTTTCCTCTTGGTTTCTCTTGGCGAACACCAAACAAAAGAGATGTGTTCCTCTTGGTTTCCCTTTCCACCAATCTGAAAACAGTGACCAGGTCCTCCGGTAGAAAGGTTAGACGACGGGTGCCCTTTTTTCTGTAGTCTATTTTAGTAGGGGAACCCTCCCCCAAAAAGAGTAAAAGGGCACCTAGCTGGGGGACCTAGGTGAGCCCCAAAAAGACAACCCCCCGGCGGCGCCGAAACGCGCCCCACTCTCCTCGCGGCGCCGCCGCCGCCTCCGGGAGCGCTCGGAGGTCGCTTGGCTCCCGTCCTGAGGTGTCCCTCTCTACGTTCAGGCAACCCGGTAACCCGGCAACCCTTGATTCTAGGGCTTGATTCCTTTTCCATTATTTTCAGCCATCGTTCTTTTCAAAAGCCAGCCAATTCCCCAGGGTGTTGGTAGATTTCTAGAAAGAAGGATCCCTGAAAAGAAAGGGGAATCAACCCCTAGATTAACAGGCGGTTGGGATTGGTTTGGGGGATTTGAACCTTAATTGGTGTTTCGCATGGGAGGCTTGGGGATTTGGGGATTGGAACTTTAATTGGCGGTTCGGATTGGCTTGGGGATTCTTGAACTTGACATGGTGGTTCAGATGGGTGGTTTGGGGATTTAAACCTGAACTCGTGTTTCAGATTTGTGGTTTGGATTTGGATCTGAACCCGTTCTTGTGGAGGGAAAATGGGAAACCGGGCCCCTAACCACCAAACCACTGGGCTCCAAGCCAACCAAAAACGAGGGAAGCTGAAACATGTCGGGTTGGGATCTTTCTCAAACAGGGGGCAAATCAACTCAATACGAAGGTGACGCAACTCAGTCAGACTCCCTCATAGGTGACCAGAATCTCAAGCTGGAGAGATTGAGCACCCTCAACTGGAAAACACTTGGGATGTAATTAATGTTGTCCTAGTACTTGCCTTCAAAATCCAGATGTGGATGAAACACCTGTACCAAATCAAGTAGTCTTTGCACTCACAGATGCCAACCCCAGCGAAAGACCCCAGATCGCGAAGTGCTCTGAATGAGTGCCTTCTGCCCCGATGATACTGTGGATGGACGAAATCCTGCACCACCTAAGAAACCCTGGATTGATGATTCCTCTGAAAATGCCAACAAACAATGGTTGCCCATGGTTTAAACAAAGAACAAAATCAGCGGAGAAAATTGGAAAGATTGGGCTGGCGGCATATCTTGCTTTCTTGCCTGATAACCGGGTCATGCCGCCTGAACAACGTCCCAAAACCGTCCCCTGGCTTCCCTCCCCAAGGAGAAACGCTATGGCCCCCTTACTCACAGGTGGGGGCCTCAGGTTTCTGAAGTTCATGCCTGTGAACACACCACGTCCACCGGAGCCTTTCCAGGGAAGGACCCAAATTAGTCTGTTCTTCACCCATTCTGTTCAGGGGATCCGTCTTTTCCACAAAATGATTCCAAATACCTCAGGAAAGCTATTTGAATTTTCAGAAAGCCGTGAATAGCATGAATGTCAACCCTCTGAATGTTGGTCCAGGCAACACACGTTCGGTCCTCCAGCGTCTCACTAGCATCGGCACCCAAGCTAGCTGCACTGGCCTGCGTCGGCAACAGGCCAACACAAAGCCGACGTGGGATTTTCGGGGTCTGTTGGTCAGGGGGGGTCTTAGATTGCCCACCTGCGAATCCATGAAAGTGTGGCTTTATGTTGGTGGAAAAGGTCGTGCGTTGAATGAGCAAGTTGTATCGTTGGGCTCCCAAATCAACCAACAGCAGGGGCTCCACTTTTTGACTTCCCCAAGATAAATTCGTCCCATGCGAGGTGTCACCAGAAAGAAACAAACACTCGGAATTGATACCATCTTTTAATGAGAAACACGCACACCCTTGAGGCAGAAGCCACTGGACCAGGCAATCGGAGTGTTTGGGGGGGATGGTTGCGAAATCCGTTTCGCAGCACCGTTCGGAGACCCTGGTTTCATCAGTCCCCAACTACAAAAGCAAAGCATGGTTTCAAAGCCATGGTATCATTTGTGCGAATTGGATTCTGTCCATCAGTAGCTTCGGATCGATCCGCCTGGGAGCTGATGTTCATCAGCTCCGACTTGAATTCCAAGGGCTCCGACCTCAGCCGTCAGCAGCTCGAGAAGGAGCCGGGAGGAAGAACTGGAAGCCTCATAGTTTGTTGTTGGCAAACCACAGACAGGAGCAGGTAAAACCATGAGTCTATGCTTAGCTTGGGGAACTTAGAGCCATCACACCAAGAGGAAACTCAACTCACAGTGTACCAGCGGCCCAGACGGGGTCGCTTGAAGGCTATGTCCAAAAAACACCGGCTTTACAAGAGGGTCCAAATCAGCTTGTGAATGCGATTTCTCTTCCGGCCCAGCTGTATCCTGTAAGGTACCCTATTTGCTCCATGTACAAACCCCTGACCACAGCAGGCTGATTCTTGCTGGAGCAAGGCAAGATCAAAGGGCTCAGATTGCGACTACAAGGTGTATCAACCAGTAGACAAACCGTGTTTTATCCATCCCACCTGCAACAACATCTGGCTGTCAAAACAGGTGGCAAATGGATGTTCATCCACCCCAAAATCGAGCCATAGGCTATGCCCCATGGCCATGTTGCAACCAGCATTTTGTCCAACAAAAGGAATCGGTTTTGGCCCATCCGGCGCCGCGACCTTTTCTGGCCCTCGAGACCCTGGCCTACTGCTCCGCCTTGAGTCCGCCCGGTCTTTGTCCAGGTTCTTGGGCAAGGGGCCCGGAGTCGAGGGGACTGGCCGTTCATTTGCTCCTGAGTCACTGAGCACATGCCACAGGGGCACCCGTGAAAAGCAACAGGTTCTGCTTTGGGGTCCACCCCAAATCCATGGATTTTAGAATCGCAGGGCGGTTTCATAAGACACTTTTGCATTTAAAAGCCGTGAGAAGGCGACGCAAAGGCGACTCACTGACCACATGTTTGACACATCACACCGCACAAATCATATGGACGGTTGCGAAATGTCGATTCAATTTGAAACCATGGCTGAAACCAGTGTTTGTTGGTATTTGCAGTGGAATCAACATTCCAGGATTGCTTTGGTGGTGCAGGATTTCGCCCATCCACAGTAGGTTTGTCAAAAACTATGGCCCGCTAAAATGATTGGCTTCCTTTCCCACAACAAACAGCGAGAGCGCAAGCGCAACTCTGGCGAGAAAACCGCTGCCATTCAGCCGAGCAGCGGCTGACCTCTTGTGGGCCCTGTGCCGTAATGTCCTCGTGGCACAAGGCACTCCCTGATCTTTCACCCTTCTCTCAAAGTTCTGCTTATGTCACATCACCCGTTTTGCGATGCGATGGGTTATTCCCATCACTGATGCATCATTTGGGGGATTCCCTTGGTGTCATCAGTGTCCTTAAAACCCGATTTCCCCATTGGTTGTTTCTTTGGCACGCTGAGCCCCCCACTTCCACATTGGGAAACGCATGAATTGGTGACATCGGGCCTGTCGCCCGACAAGCCGACCAGCGCCACGCGGCAACAGCGCGAGCATCCCATGTGAGCAGCAAGCCCTTCGCGCCTCTCCCTGGACCCTTCAGCGCGCGCAACACCTGAGCTCAAGTTGGCAGAAGGGTGTGTGTGGTGTGTTGTTCTTACTGGTTCTCAGGGGGAATGAGAAATGGAATGACCCCAAGAAGACCATCCCTTGTGGTATGCTTTCAGTGGATCCCCAATCGGTTCAGTCCCGACACCCGGAACGGTCGTTCCCTGCTGAGCAACAGCAAGTTTTTGGGGTGGCGTCAAAGAGAAACGCAAAGGACGCCCGCAATCCATTTCGCGGCTCCGATGTTAAGACCAACGCGCCGGTTCAGCTGGGTATGTGTCAAAACTTATGTTAACTTGCCCCGTTTGCTGGTGAACTGGAGCTTTGTCCGATGTCAACATTGGCACCGTCTGCAGATATGGAACAAACATGCCTCCAACAAGCTTTCGCTCTCTATTTCGCGGCAAACAACTCTTTCGCAGACCTTCACGTGAACAAACGCCTGCGCTATGGTCCTCATAAGTCATTCCAAGCACCTGTCGATCGACACGCATCGATCCCGACTTCTGCGCCTCTACTGGCGAGGCCTGAGGTGAGTCCACTTCGGCCCAGGGAGGCTCCGGGGTGCGGGCCTTCCTGGGCGAAGTCAGTCAGTCACAAGGGGCTGGCTCATTCTATGGACCTCGGGGCAGGGGCCGCACAAGCCAAGGAGCCCCTGATACAGCGGTACCATAAGGGTCTAGTTGGAGGCTGATCATTCGAATGGGGTTGGGGTGCCAGAAAATCCAAACCGAGTTGTGACCGTTGGATCATAGGAGTTGTTCATATGGACAACATCTTGCACCGTGAATACTGGGTGCAAGGTTTTGCCCATCCACAGTGTCAACATATTTATATAGGTTTCATAGCACCATAACAAAACATGTACCATTCCGATATGAAAATAGGTTTGCCAACTGTCACACCTTACCCACAGAACCCAAACAAACTTGGGTGGTGCGAACAAATTTGCCCACCCAGATCCCCCAGGAAAAGTTCTTAGGACTTTCTAGAAGAGGCTTAGGACCTGACTAGCTGAATCGACTGGCCAGAATAAGCTACAAAAGATGAAAGTTTACCAACTCAGGTAAGGAAGCCTTCGGGACGTTGAGGGCTCCGCTGACAAACACCCAATTCTATCAGTCCGCAAACACCCCTTCATGGAGCTTCCGTTTGGAAGCATCGACTTGTGGTTCGAACATTTAGATAGGCGGCCTCTTTGGACGTAGATGCTTGTCGCTGTACTCAAGCCCATCTGGTGCAAAGTGGATTTTGTCGATCCAAACGAATCAACCCGAATCAAGCCGAATAGTAACCACCTGCCATTCGATTGTTGCCTAGCCTGTTCCAATTCCGTTGGGGCCTTCACAATCCGTAATCCGCTTAATCCCTGCTCTGGTCGGTCGATATTCTTAATCTGTCATCAAGCCAGCAAAGTGCGATTCTAAACAAGAATGTGGAGCATTGAAAACCCATGCAAAACAGTGTGTAATCCAATCCGTAAACCGCATAATCCGCAATCCTCTACTCATTGCACACTAGGAGTTTGAGCAGGCAACCGTTGCTTCTTGGACGTCAAACATGTTTGAACCCACCCTTCGATTTTGGGGCAATACTGTGAAACCTGCACCAGTTAGCATGTACGAACACTGTGAGGGTCCCAGGCGATTGAACAGCTCCCCTCTCTCTCTTCCCGGCGCCTGCGTGGCGATGTGGCCTGGGGGACTCTCTCCAGTCTGTGGGTGGATGGTAAAACCTAAGCTACAAAACCAGACCTGGATCGCCAGCTGCGAAGCGCCTTTCTCTGATTGGAGACTTTTTGGACCTGAACTCAACTTCCTTCGTTTTTGGTGGTTTGGCGATTAGGGGCGGCCTCCCATTTAGCCTCAAGCCACCAAAAGTTCAAATCCAAATCCCAACCACCAATCCAAACCACCATGAAGGCACAGCTGAGAATCCTAGGGGTTCCAGCTCCACCGGGGAAAAGTCGGAAAAGTGGCGTCATACATCTCTGATACAACCATGATGCAATTCAAATCA